CCTATTCAAGAAGTGCGTACCCACTAACCCGGAAGTAGTGTTAAATGTGGTATACAGAATTCAGTGTGGAGACTGTAGTAAGGTGTACACTGAAAAGACCGATCGGAAAGTTGAACATCCAGATCAAAGAGCATCCATCTGTATTCTGCCCTGTTCAATCTAATAATCCCGGTCCTATCCGGCATGCCATCTCTGAAGGACACCTAGTGAGACCAGTATTTTTGCCATAGATGAAGACATTATAAATTGGACTGCTGATAAACGAGTCCCTATTTAAAAGTGATGGAAAATTCGACCGATGAATTGGAGTAGCCAGTGGCGTTCTGCGTGAACCTACTTCATCTACTCAGTCTGAAAATTAAGCTCGTTATATCATAAGTCGATCTTTATCTCCATGCTTGCCTACGATCATGAATCGTGGACCATTACTGAAAGGCTTCGAAACCGGCTACAAGCTGCTGAAATGGGCTTTCTTAGACGAGTAACTGGCCTTACGTACATCGACATAGTCCGGAATACTGACATCGGAGAAAGCCTTGGTGTTCAGCCGGTGCTTTTTCAGTCTCAGAGGTCCCAGCTGCTATGGTTGGGGCATGTGTTGTGAATGCTTCCAGAAAGGAAGGCTAAGCAACTGTTTCTTACACAACCGACCGGCAGAAAGCCCAGAGGACGGCAAGATTAATCTGGTGCAAATAAATGGAAGGATTCCCTTCCAGACTCCAGTTGTCTTCTGCCGAAGCACAGGATCGGAAACTTTGGAAGTACTGTTTGATGCGTCTGTCTCTGCCACCCGAAAGGAGAAGCGGCCATGGAAGATGAAGATGAAGATAATGGAGTCCGTGCATATGCAGGCAACGAAAAGCTAGATGTGCAATGAATAAACATCATCTGTGGTTATTAGTGAAAGCTGGGGTACAGTCGCAGAATTTGGTCAGCATAATAGACCCGATTGTTTTAATGTGAATATTATACCGTTTGCTGGTTAACATTTTGTTTAGTCTGCTTAAAAACGTTTTGATTGTATACGAGTCAGATGGAAAATTGGCATTGGATAAAATTTAATTTATCCTATTTCAGCACCATTGGAATTTAAATGAGAATCTCAATTCAATTGAGAATTACGGTAACGGTTAAGGATCGTAATCCTAATTTGAAGATATCAAGCCCATTTATTCTTTTGACAGTCTTCCATAGAAATCTGCTACTTAGTTACACATTTCCTTACGGTTTCCGATAATAATTCTTTCATCTGGATTGATAATTGAAATGTATTCCTTCCCATTGCATGGCTATGAAAACGACTATGAAAACTGGGAAAATTTCAGCACAAGAAGCGTCCCTCAAACGCGCCATAATAGCGATATGATAGTTACTTATCGTTTAGCTATCAAAAGAGACATACAAAGATGCTTTGGGTAAAAGTAATCGCAGATGTGGCATGAAATGGGAGAGTGACAGACGGGATTTTTCAGTCGGTAGAGCATCCGACTGAAAACCGTAAGCTTCCGGATGCGTACCATTCTGTGGGAAGGAAACAGGAGACAACACGCTATGCTTGCCATATTGCTGAAGTCTCTGCCTTTAAAATAAGACACTCGTAGCTGATGGCATGAAAATAAAAGTCAGCACCTCTCTATTGACTGCATGAAAACAAGGGTGTCAGAAATGGCCTCATCTTGAAAGTGTAAGGAACACCAATGTTCCAACGATTACAAAGCTTTCTTTGTCTACCTTCTGAATAAGCGGTCTTCAGACCGTTGAAAGAAAGCTAAATTTATTTTCCGCTTTATTGTTCTTTCGGCATCGTACTTGATCAGAGATGTAGCAATAAGCATTTTTCTATAAAACTGGTATGACATGATGAGCTGTTGAATAAATGATTTATTAGTGCTGGAAACCAATGAATCAGTAGCATCGACGTTGCTCTTTCACTTTCTTATGTATTATGCACACAACCGTGGAGAGGGTAGAAACGGCTACCATTTCATCGCATATTGACAGATGAGAAGCACTTGAGTCTGCTGGCAAAGTAAATAAGCTGACCAAACTCTGAAAACCTCGAAAACGTGCTACGACAAGATAAGCACCTCTCGAAACGCTTAACATTCCAAGCCTGAAGACGTGAATCGTGTGCTTTAATAGACTAAAAACATGCTATCGAAAAGAACTCAAAACAGAAAAAGTAACGAAGAAAATCTGAGGCGTGATACATTTAAAGTAACAGAATTACGCTCTCCGTCCTATTTGTTTCCTACAGCAGATTAAAAGGAAGCATTCTTACCCCTAAGTCTTCAGATGAAGTGGAAGTGAACAATTTCTGGAATTATAGTCTGTCCACTGCCGGGATTATGAGTCATATAAGTGTGAAGGTTACCCCAAAAACCGGAAAATAAAGTTTGATGGAACAACTAGCGGGCAGCGCTTGTGTTTGCTTTACGAGTGCAAACCACAAAAACCCGGCTTTCCTCTTCAAACCACTCATGCAAACTTAACGTCTGGTAGACATCACGGAAGCAGAAGTTCAACCGGGGAGATGGATCTGTTCTCGTCAGCGATCGAAAGCTTAAAGCCCGCTTTGGATGATGACCTCATCGACCGATTCAATCACTATTACACACCGAACGTGTTTCTTCTTTTCGCGCTGGTGGTCATCACTCGGCAGTGGATAGGACATCCTATCCAATGCTGGGTGCCTGCCGAATTCAAGAGAGCGTGGGAGGAATACACCGAAAACTATTGCTTTACACAGAACACTTACTGGTTGTCCATCAACAGTTCGATACCGGAGCACCAATCGGAACGAAATGGAAAACGCATCTGCTACTATCAATGGGTACCTTTCATCTTAGCCACGCAAGCGCTGATGTTCTGCATCCCGCATTTGGTGTGGCGACTGCTGAGCTTCTATTCTGGTATGATTGATCTTCTGCATTGCTGCGTCATGATTATGAACGCGGACCTAAAATTTGCTAAAATTCTTTAAAAAATTTACATTATACTTACAAAAGACAACAGTGCCATATGGACGAGCCCAGGATTTTTTTCAGATTATTCCATTTTTCATGACGCTCATGATTTAAAGTTGCATCTGTCAGCATTGTTTTTAAGAATTTGGTTTGTAGAAAAATATTCTTACTTTATATAAGCATTGTAAATATGAAAAGCGTTCCACTTTCAAGTGATTCAGACAATTCTGACTGGAGTATTGAAAGATAGTTAAACAACGTCCACCACAAAATTTATTTCAGTTATTTTGTCGAAT